GGAATGGCAAGATGGCTGAAAAGTACAAGCAAAGATAGCAGAGTGACAACACGAGACGAGGAGAAATGTCTGATATTGAAGGTAAGCCTTCTGAATGGCTCTCTAGCAATCCCAGTCCCCTTCCACAGCCACGATCTTTCACCGCTTCCACTGCACCCAGAGGCGGCACTTGTCTTCCCCAAAATGAGCCAAAGCGAGCAAGTCAGGACAGCAGAAAATTAGTAATTTATGTGTTGGATTGGTTTCCAACGAAACCCACTCGCTGCAGAAAGCCTCGGCAGAGCTGGAGCGGGCGCAGGAACAGATCGCCCAGGGCGAGGCGAGAGCAGGACTGTAATGTTGAGCATCCGTCAGCCGTTAGTCACGCTCTGTGCAACTGAGTGGCGGGGGGAAATAAAGCCAATAGCTGTGCTAGGAGAGGCTCGCGAGCAGGTCTTTACGGTAAGAGAGTAGTAGGTGCAGTCTTCACACAGGGCTGTATCCAAACAGCCCGAACACATCCATCCTGGGGGGGGTTTCTCGGGGGGGGGTGTCTCTGTGCAGTTCCCCAGATCCCCTCTGCACCTCCCCACAAGTCATTGTCTTTGCCCGAGCCAGTTTTCAGGCACGTCAGCTCCCCGACACATTTCACTGTGCAGCCGTTCAAACCCTCAATGCCGGCACGAGGAAGGGGACAGCAGAGAGACGGGGTGACCCCCCGCTGGGCGATACCCCACTGACAAGTGATTTGAGCAGGCAGCGAAGGAGCATGGCCCCCCCTTCACTCTAAAACAAGAATGGGATTTTCTTTAGAGGATTCTTTCACGCATAGCTACCGTTCAGATTTTTTAAAATTTAAAGCCCAACAAAAACTAGATCCTCACAAAACTGGGCACAGCAGAGAGACGGGGTGACCCCCCGCTGGGCGATACCCCACTGACAAGTGATTTGAGCAGGCAGCGAAGGAGCATGGCCCCCCCTTCACTCTAAAACAAGAATGGGATTTTCTTTAGAGGATTCTTTCACGCATAGCTACCGTTCAGATTTTTTAAAATTTAAAGCCCAACAAAAACTAGATCCTCACAAAACTATGCTTCTTGCCCCGGCTGTAGCCTCACCCCATTTTTAACCATTTCAGTTCTGCAGCACGGGAAGGAAGGCTGCGCAGACCCGCAGGACAGGACTGACTGATGAACACATTCAGAAAGCTTTTGGTACACAAGCAAGACAACACATTGAAGAAAAAAAAAAAAACAAACCAAACCAAACGACTGCTATCTCTATATTCCAAAATAACTGCAGGCACGTCCGCAAGTAACCCTGAGCTGGAAACTACAATTAATTGGCACCAACTGTTCCAATATAATTACAAGCATGATGCCCAGCAGTTGATTAACTTAAGTTCATTGTCACATCTGCAAAGCAGTAACCCGGTGTCCTACCCTTAACACAGGCAGTAAATTCTTTCATACGCAGCTCAGATTACGTCCTCTTTGAGGACAGCTCACAGGATCCTGCTTTACACCCCAGAGCACAAAGGAAAAGTGTAGCTCTTCCACGTTTTCATCTCTGCCTTCCTTTTACTGCCCAACTACTCACCCTCTTCTGAAAGGACAAGGAGAAAAATCAAGTCAGCTTTAACACCCTTAAGCTGTGATTTTCACAGCTCTCAATCAAACATGAAAGGTAACCTTGAAGTTAAAATTCTGCTGGAGTAAACCAGCCATTTCCTCATTGCTCATCAAGGCCCAAACTGTCCCAAATCTATTTTTTTTTTGCTGTGTCTCAATTAGGGGGATGGCTTTGTCTTTTCCAATCCTCTTTCCATTCAGAGAAGCACTTCCTAGGAAGGAAGAAGGTTTTAGGAAAAAGCCTGGTGGGCTGCTATGGAACTAGAATACAACATTGACCAACAATTCACATGCAACACAGCAAAGCATGGACTTTTGTCCAAAAAACAAGTTCTGCTTTGGGATTTTTTCGTGTGTGGATTTGTTTTTGGTTTTTTTTTTTTCATTTTATAGAGGTGATGCTGGTATACCAAGGCAGGGGTTCCCAACAATGGCAATGGATGCCATGACAAAAATACGTGGTAAAGCAAAACTGGTAAATCCAAGGTAAACACCCATGATAGAGCATACAGAAAAGAGGAGAAAGAAAGGGGGATTAATTAGTGCAGGTATATTCAAGAAAACTTTTTTTTAACAATCTTCCAGTATTAAAAAGAAATTATACTTGCAAGTCACTTGCAGAAAATTTTAATAATTTGCCAAATATACAGCTATTAGAATTATCCTAAATATCACTTATCATTAAGTTACAAAAGTTGGTAAATAGCATAGTACAATGTTCTATAAAATAAACACGTTGTATTAACAACACCCCTGCAGTCCAATAATGGCAAAAAAAATAGCAAATGAAATTACAAACAAACACATACAAATTAGAAGAGATTGAGTTACGGCTTTAGACACTTGAATCAAAGAAACTGAGACCAGACTGGACTAGATACATTCATCCATCGAGCATAATTAATGTAGAATTTTAGATTTTAAAAACCAGTTAACACCACAATGTGAGGGTGCAATGTCACATGCTTTCAATTAGCTTCCAGTACAATTCCCAGAGTATTAAAGTGCCTTTGTGCACTCTGATTTCATTTATAGTCAGGTGCAACACACACCATATGTGGAAGTTACTTCAGAGGTCAGGTTTTTTAAAAAAAAATAACTATTTGAACCAACGTACACAAGTCAGACTAAGGTGGTTTTAGAGTATCTTCGTTCTGACTATTTGCTGTTGAATGTCATTTAACAAAGTAAACTCCAAACACGCGGGGCCTGTCTCCGCTAAACAAGACCACAGTAACAGGTATTTCTTGAAGTGTGTTTTCAATCCTTAGCTTTTCCTCCCCTTTCCCCTTTCAAACGCTGCTCAAACAGCTACATCTGCCCTTTGGATGGCAACCCCCTCCGCAGCTCTCATTTACAGATTGCCCTGAACACGGAGAAGGGGCAGTATTTGGCCTGTGGCTATGGAGAGGAAGGTACTTCATGGGTAAGGTCCTACAAGGGCCTGTTGTAACGCGATGAATACGCATGGCATGTTCTCCCTGCGAGGTACTTGAGGACTTGCAAGCCCTTGGATCTTCCCTGTAGCCATTACCTGCACCGCAGAGCTGACCACATGTCCCACTCGGGGCTCCGTACGGGCCTGCACGGCTTCCCGCTACGCTCCCTTCCTAAACCCAGACCTCAGGTATTAATTGCAGTAAGAAAAGGGAAACTTCAGGCAGTTTGGCTGTCACTCACCTTGCCCCCAAAACTTCCTCTTGAAAACACAGATAAAGAAGTTTTATGAAACCTACGATCCAGCCTCCCATGGAAGCGTGCTCTCCACTCACATGCCGCTCCTACTCCTTCATGGGAAAGAGAGCAAAAGGGAAACTGCATTTCCCGCAGCATCTGAGGCGGGAAATTAGTGTTTTTCAATACCTGCACTTTAAGAGCAGTTATGGGGCATAAGGTTTTTAGGAAATAAAAATTTCACTTTAAATCAGTCCTAAATCAGTCCCCGATGACGCTACAGAAGGTTACCAGTGGCAAAGGCCGAAGAAGGCACTCGGGAGGAACGCTCACTTGGAGGGGAAAACAAAACAAAATAATTAGGAGGGAGGATGAACAATTAATCCTAACTCTGAACAGCAGATGTGGATGGGAGTCTCTATCCTTCCACTGCCTTCCTATAACTCGACGGCACTTCACATCGTGAAGTGAGAAAACAATTACAGTCATTTTAAGTTCAGGCTGTAAACGCCCCCGCCTGCCACGGCCAGCACAGGCGATGCCGTCCCTTCGCCGCCGTGAAGCGGCCCGTTTTCCATACCGCGTAATCCAGACTCAGATCAGCGGGAGCTCTCTGCAGGCGAGGAAGTTTTACTGGGGCTCTAGACATATAATACGCTAACGTTACTTAAAATATCACGTGCGCTGAAGTATTTCAAGAATGTATGCACTCCGTTAATCAAACTAAAAGGAATTAGCGACTTCCTCATCTACCGAGTACTTTAAAGTTCTCCGTGAAACTGTAGGGTTATGGACAAGAACGGTCTGACCACACGTTACAGCAGGATAAAATGGAAAACAGTAAAAGTTTCGTGTGAAACACAACTATATGTAAAGTCTTGGGCTTAGTTCATAAAATTATTTGATTAAAATACTAATCTCATCATGGTATAATAATTTCCAATGTAATTTATGCAACAAGTTCCACCCATATCCAAAAATACCATATATGTTAATGCTTTTTTATAAAACTTTATACAATTCAAGCTCTCATTAGGTAAGCCGATACACAATTCTCACAGTCACCTAGGCAGAAAGTCTTCAGGAAAGTATATTCTCGGAGAGTACGTGAACGACAATGCTTCCACGAACCTTCCCTTTTGACAGGCGATCCTGCTAAATCAAACTCTTACTGCTCAAAATCGGAACAGGCGGGTTTCATCACCGACTTCAGCACCCGGATACACCACGCCAGCCTGGGGAAGGGACCTGCTTTCAGTCGGCCGGGACAGAGATACCTGTAAGCCTCGTTACCATTTCCGTAAAGATTCCCATGTAACTGTCACCTGTCCTACAGAGGACAGAAGAGGCATCACTGGGAGGGAGGGAGACCGATGGCAACACATAGGTTTAGTGACCAGTGTCTCCCTCTTTGTTTTCTACTTAATTCTGTAATCAGTTTAATGATTTCTGCGAATACATCTCCAACTATAACTGAAACCAATCTGATAGAAGGTTGTGATCAGATACAAGACACTACAAACACCACATCCAAAATGTGCAAGAGTAATGTGAATGTAACGCCTTCGCAGGCTTAAATTCACAGCCGGTACTATGCCAAAACACCTCTACAGCAAGCTTTATTTACACAACTTCCAATTAAAAATACTTTTGTCTCTCAAGCTACATGTTAAATTAACAGAAATACATCCATAATAACTACCGGTAAAAAAACCATGATAAAATTATTTTATTTTTTTTTTATTCAAAATATTCTGACAGTTTAACAATATTCCAGGTGCATTACAAACACTGCCATAGTCAACACAACAATCAATACTTAAAGAGCATTCACACACTGAAGACGTAAATCTTAAAGCAGAGACAGGAGAATGCGCTTATACTAAGAGCGTACAGATCATTTTCCAATAACTGACTTCTCTGAGGCAGATGTCTGATTTCTCCGGCACAAAATGGATTAAAATCCAGAAGAGATGAATTACAGAGGACAAAAATTCAGCTGTGTAAATGTTTCTCCCCGTATTTTCTACAAAACATTGTGAATTTATCATACAAGGCCACTACCAGCCTAGACTACTCTAGTGTTGACTATTTACGGGACAGAACAACATAATCGTAACAGAGAAACCAGCGTCAGAGCTAACAAAACCACAAACTCTTCCTAGAATATGGCTTAAATTAGTTCACAGAGAGTTGGGAATATATTATAGTTAATGATGCAATGGAAATACCAGGAAGAAAAAACCCCACTTTATCTACCCGGTATTTTCCCCTCAGCCTTCACCATAATTTGCATAATTTTTTCAACAAAATGATACTGCCTCTCCTGCAAGCGTCTTTTCCCACGCTTCAAAAACATTACGTTACTAACAGATGGGTTTCGTTCTTGAATGTGTTGGCCAATATTAGCTCTAAAGTTTAAGCACTGTCCTTCTACGCATAATACCCTGTTTTAACCCAGCTTCCCAGAGCACTAAAATTTCAGCTTTATTTAAAACGGCGTACTGGTTCCAAAAAGCATTTACCTCTTTCTGATATCGAGAACACATACGGAGTCGAGACCTTGCAGGGACGTGTACACAAATGAGTGCATAGTGCCGAACATCAGGCAGACAGAGCAGCAAGGCCACAGTGTCCTGTGAAGTCTGCATGTAAAAGATGTACGTTTCCAAAGACCAAAGCCATTCTAAAAAGTTTTACTTCTGGGCCTTGCTTAAAGCATTAAAATCTTGCTCTATGGATGGCAAGACTCCTCCGTCCCAACTTTTCGTACGGCTGACCGTATACGCGTGGTAGGACAGCCACATACACAGCGTACAGAAGAGACACACCGAAACCGCGCGGGGTACATCATCCTGATCTCAAAGATTCCAAATGAAAGCTTTAATTTTTCCTGTGAAAAAGGAGGAAGGGGGACAACTTTCAAATTACACAGTTTGCCTGTGTGTCATTAGGGAGGAAAAAAAAAAAAAGAAAGAAATTAAAAACAAAAGGAAAAAAAAAAAAAAAAAGAGCTGGCTTTAGCCCGGGGTAAGAGAGCCACAACTCCACGGCAACAAACAGAGGTACTGGTTGCTCCAGGGCTGAGCTGGATCTTGGCAGCAAAGGGTCCTTCGCCTGTGTCGCTGGTCCTTTCCAGCCGGTGCTCCCCAGCGGCGGAAACGTGAAATGCCTGTCGCAAAACTAGAGGCGGGAAGCGGCTAGAGGAAATCCCTGTAAGCTCACTCTGAATGCTGTGTTTCCCCGGTCAATTGGTTTGCTTTTAAAAGCAATGTTTTTGGAGAAGGGCCATCGGAACAAAGGAGTGAGGCATCTCCCTTAGTCACAACATCAAAACACTCCATTAACAGATTGAGTTAATCGCCTAAACCAAATTAGTTCCTGGAACACCTCGCGCTTGCATTCTTTTACTCCTCCTGAGGAACAAACAGCTTCTCTAGCAGTTGTGCAGTTTAAGCCTGTTACTTTACTCCAGCATTTTCTTAGCACCTCAACACAAATTACGTTGTAGCTTGTCTGTGGTGAACATCGGCTACGGACAACCACCGAGAGGGGAAGCACCCACTCCAGTGGTGAAATAACAGCGATATCGGTCCCGTGACATTGAAAAGCACTTTTTTCTTTTTTTTTCTTTTTTTTTTTTTTTCTTTATACGCTGGCTTCCAGGTTAGACTACTGACTCAAAACGGGATTTCTCTCCAAGTAAGACTAACTCCAGTTATTTAAATACAGTAAACACAAGAGGGCAGTACTGAGGACATCAATCCTGCACTTCATAGCTTTCAGTCCATTTTCTAAAAACCTGTTAATGGAGATACGGCTCAGTGTCAAGGCTAAGTGGGAAATGTTTTCTACGCTAAAGTCGTTACAGGAACTAACATGACCCTTGCTTATCGGGCAACTGTACTCCTTGGATTTAAGCCAACCATATACACTTCATCCTACTGATTTACCTATCCTGCTTAATCTCAAGTATCTTCATCCTTTCACACTCCCTAATTAGCTATCAATTATTTTCCTGAGTGAGATTATAAAAAGTTAAACCCTTCTACCAAAAGTACAAAGACAAATAAAATATAGAACAATACAAACCCAGTTATACAGCATTACAAGTGCAGAAATTCTTCATGTTGTTGCTCTTCTTTATCATTGGCCCCCAGTAAAAACCATAGCAAAGAATTTAGTTATCCAAAATATTTTGAAGTACTGTGATTAAATTCTTCAGACCGTAAATGTAGCCCTCATCCTTTGTGTTGCTAGGGAACACATGAGCAAAATCTATCATTCGGACTTCTACGTTCGCGCTTTCTTTGATCTCTGCTGGCATGTGACAGAAAACTTTTTCCAGTTGGGGTATAACGTTTCCGTTCAGATGCTCCTGTGTAATGCACGTGCTGCTTTTCCACACGTTGCCTTGCTCCAAGTTTTCAACTTTTAGTGAGAGTTGACTGTGGTGCCTCTTAGAGTATGCCTTTTTGTGAAGTGCGTAAAATTTGGACAAGCCTTTACTTACAGAGGCCTCAATTTTTCCATTCTCCGTAGAATTTATGACGTGGATATTATTGTTATACTCCAGTATGTCTCCACCTGACAACAGTCCTTTGGGCACTCCTCTCTTCTCTGCCAAGGTGACATCACTCAACCGCACGGTTGTTGCCTGACATGAACCTTCATAAACAAAGAGTAATGAGCTTGCATAAAAGTTGAGTTGCTTCTGGCCCTCAAACCACTCCAGAATTTTTTCAATCTTCCGAATGCTGGCAGCTATTGCATCTTTTCTCAAGCAGTACCCATTGTGGAAAAACTTTGAGATGCCTGCAAAGAGAGAGACACATTTGGGGATTATGTTCACCTCTAAAAGAACTCAAACTCTTCATTTCTTTCAGGATGAGAATAGTTCTTGATCTGAAGAAGCAGAGAGCATTCACATCATTTCCTTTCAGTCAGTTAACAACGACATTAGAAGCAAACTGAGGAACTTTGATACCTTCAGTCCCCTCACCTGTGTAAGGCCGGCTGTGTAATACTACAGATTGGGCTAGGATTGTAAATAAAATTTAACTAATTGATGTATCAGTCATACAGTAGATGAACGTGGTCCCTGCTCCCCGTGTCGTTTTAGCAAGCATCTGGACCGTTTGGGGCAGGGACCCGTTAAATTCTCCAGGGATGAAGAAGCTCAAGCAGCTCTATCATGAGTGACAGAGCTGACAAGTTAGTGCCAGCTCTGGAGAGGGGTGTGTCTGTGCACGTGGCCTTCTGTCTCTCGGTGGGGGACAGATGAACAGACATCCATTAATTAATAACTAGTTTGAAATAGTTATCACCACCAAACAGACGCAGGATGGTAGCATTTTTGTTTATTGTTAACGTGGAGCAACACAGGGATTGACTTCAACCGAGGAGGTCACTAACCAAAAGATGCATTTACAGTCGCTTTCTAATACAAAAGATACATTCATAGAAGACAACTATATATATACATATATATTACAAACACATTTAATACTTCCAAAAGTTTCTATTTCGTTATAGTCTCAAAGCTGCAAAGAAACTGAATTCTACCACTATCGCCCCCTGCACTGGTAGTAAGAGACACGTGATGAGGAAAGTCCTATCGACTGCACTGCTGTTAAAGCCAACTGCAAACTTAATTTAGGATCGACAGGTAGCTCAAACGAAACGGGAAACTGCTAAAGACCCATCCGGCAAGAGGAGAAAAAGGGACTTTTAAAGTAGGAACACAGAGACTACTTTTCCATACAGTTCTATAAATAAGTAAATAAATGAAAAATACCCCAGAGCACAAATTCCCTTACCGTCCTTTACCGTCTCCTTTGTCAAGCTCCTTCCGTAGTGCTGGTTTTGCGTCTCGTAGCTGTCAGAAGAGACATGGTAAACCTGCGAGAAACAAGAAGGCAACTCTGTACTTCTTTCGAACACCCAGTATTTCTGCAGAGCTAGGAGGCGCCCTACAGACAGGCTACAAAACCTCTGGTACCATCTAGCCCTCGCACAGCTTTTAAGTTACTCGCAGCGGCCATCACTGCCCTCTAGCGCTCCGATCTGCAAAATCCTCCCCCTTCACATCTTGGGGTCTAAGCTACAGCTTTCCTGCGTGCAAAAGATATCGTTATGTTGGCAAAAAGCAACGTAGCCCTTACGGGCAAACATTTTATACGGCACCTGCCTTGCAAGCCAGTGCTAAGACTTGAAGCTGTCGTACTCCTACCCACGTTACTTTGAATATTAAATCAGTAAGACATAGCAAGCTCAAAAATTTAATGCAATTTTTTTGCAGTTCTTAAAACTACAACAATATTAAGGCCAGCAGGAAAACAGTAAGAAATACTGCGATGGGACCAGGAAGGCCCAGCTCCATGAGACCCATCTGAAACTATAACTGTTAGCACAAATGAGGTTATACTGTGACAGCAGTCGAAAGCTCGGTTCCAGCACGGAGAGCGGGACATCAGCTCTCGCCTGAAAGGGAGGCAACTCAGGCGGGTACAGTTTTGTCCATATCAGGAACTGTACAAGCTTAACAACTTAATTCAAAAATGTTTTACACAGAGACACATTTTCTCTCTAACTGAAATAATTTCCATAGTAGAAACATGCCAGCCAGCCCGCCCGCCCCAAGGACAATTTGTTTATGAGAGCGTAGACAATTCTTATTTGCAGAAATAACGGTGTTACCAAGCAGGCAGTTGTCTCTGGCAGAAACTTTGTGCTTGGCACTTGGTCAGACCACCCAACCCCGCGCACCCATCCTGGCTGCAGCGCTCTGCCCCCCCTTCACCCCCCGTAGAAAGAGAAGATCCCACGGAAAGCAAAGCTGGGGCGCACCGGTGAGGCGCCTGCCCCAGTCCCTCCCGGGGGGTCTTTTTCTTGCTGCTTGTAGCCCACAGAGAAAGCCCAGTGAAACATCAGCACATAAAAAGGAGTGGCACTCGAACAGTAATTAAAAAAAAACAACCAAGAATTCTGTTTGCATTGCAGCTCCCACCCTGAAACCTCTCTCCCCCATCCAGACCATGATGAGCACAATATAAAACACAGGTGCATAGCTCCTGCTTTGCAAAGTAGCTGGGAAGAAAAGTCTCAAATGGCTCTTATTTTGACAAAAAGAGAGAAGTAATTAAATGCAGGGTTCCCATGGAACGTAAATCAGTATGTGTGGAAATTGATTTAAGTTCTCAACCATGAATGGAAGGGGCAGTAAATAATTCTGGTTTTGCTAAAGAAATAACAGTGGTAAGCCTGAATGTTTAAACTCACTTGGTAGCAGAGACACTTCCCACTGTTCTGATTCCCATTTCCGCTGCTGTGATAGTCACAGCAAACGAGGCCCTGCTATCTACAAATTGCAGAAGAGCATAGGAGAGGCGAGTTATTCTAAAGCAGCCTCTGACACGTGTGGTTTTGGTTTCACAAAAACAATCATTTTTCACCACTTCCCCCCCCCAAGCACACAAGAGGTGCAGCATACAACATAGGAAGCCAGAGATGACATACGTAAATACTTCAGGTACCTTCGAGTTATTTTCAAAAACATACAGAAAATTGCAAGAACTTTTTCGAGAGACACAAGCCAAAGGCAATTAAATAAAGCAAGAATAAAAAAATCTCTATATTGCTTAGGAAGAGGATCAAGAGTCTGGTGACTACATTTAAGTTTTCACTGTGTCTTCATTTTAATAACATTAAATGTTCTCGTTTAGTCGGCCCAGCACGGCAGCACACTTCTGAACGAACCGTCTTGTTTACCAGAGCCTCATCTCCTCCCCCGTAGGAGCTAACAGTTTTTGCGACATGGGCACTTGCTCAAAAATGCTGATTAAGATCTGCAAGCTCATTTTGTTTTCCAAAGAAACGCTGGAGCACCACATAAGCTCCCTGTGCCTCTGAGCGGGGTTTCCCGTGAAGTCACCCTACCTCTTCTCATAATTTGCACAAAACTACTCCCCCCAAATGGCTCTCCACATCGTTTAAAACCACCCAGGCAGATGTGCCTGTTTTGCATTAACGGTGCATTTTTAACTCTACAAAACAAATTGATGACAAACTACCAAGTCCCCCCACACCCCAACAGTGCAATGTATGCATTTAACTTCTCTTGTGGACAAGGAAAGACTCGGAACACCCTTGGTTACCAACGGGCTTGGCTGCAGACAACAGCATTAAGGGCAACGTCGGTAGGTAATCACGAAAGCATTCGCCACGTTAGCCAAAGAGCTGTCTCTCGATGCTCCTTCCAGCCTTTTCTCAGCTGCAAGGAAGTGACTATTTGACACATTCCTGGGAAACCTCAACCAAATCCAAATAGTTAAGCCTCATACTGAAAGCAGAGGCACAGAAAACCAAGTTCAAACAGAAATGATCTTTCACCAGCTCTGGCTTCACCCTCACCGGCCCCCCCAAACCACGGGGACGGCTGTGCTGTAGGAGCAGAACACTAAAATTGGCTTCCTCGTCTACAGACCTCTGGCTTCACCGTGCTTTTGTTCATGCCGTCACCACTACTAATCTACTACTAACCCTTCCCAAAAGGGGTATTCGCCTTTGCACCAACCTCTTCCTGTATCCCTGTTGTTGCAGCTGTCTGTACTAGCCCGTTTCTGTCAAAATGATGATGAGTCAACGAAGCCAAATCTGTAACCTTAACAACAGCCAGGAAATTATTAAGACAGGAAAATCTCATTTCTTGCCCACCAGCCCCCGCTGGTTACGTGTTTGCTCTGTACTCACAAGGCGTTTCCCTGTGTAGTGCAAGACAAAGAAAAAGGCAAGGAGTCGATGATCTCAAAGGTCTTTTCCAACCAAAGTGATTCTATGATTCTATGAGACGTCCTTACTACACAAGATGAGAGCCGGTTTGGCTGACAGAGCAGAGGCTCCTCCTTGTGCCTACAAGCAGCTCCCTTCGGTGAGGTTCCTGCATTAACAGAACTGGAGTCCAGCATGCTCGCAGGTTCAGTTTTTTTAATTGGTAGTAGTAGGGACGCTGTGTGGGCAGCACGTCAAAAAATCCAGGTGATTAACTGTTTAGGGAAATTAATCTTCGGACTTTCTCAACCTGCACTTGGCTTTTGTTTCCCCACAAGGTGTTAAGTTCTTGCTGCCTGCATACGCACGCATATTTTTGTACACTTTTTCCAATTATTGTTAGTTCATCTGATGTTCTTGGACAGAGGGAAACCTTGAGCTCAAATAAAAAGTTGGTCCAGTGTGGCCTTTAAACAAGCACAACCCTTGCAAGATCTCAACAGTGAGACACAGAGTTTGGAAACCTTGCGACTGCAGCTTTAGGACATTAAGCTGAAGACTGGGTTGAGGAAAACAAGTATCAAATGTTACGCCGATGTTATTTACGGTAATTCAGTACCAATTTCCAAAATACCCACACTATTCAAATACTTATCTGTGGCGACTCCCTAACTTGCAGAAAGTATAATTTAAATACATATTAAGACAAGCCTGTTTGGTGGAGATAACTGCTAGAAAAAATAAAGTCTCGATTAAATTAAACTTGCAGAGCTCTTTCACATCTGCAAAAAATATTAACTAATCCACATCACTGAAACCGGGGGAGAAAAAAAAATATACTTTGAGCAGGCTCGTGCAGCACCCTGCAGCAGTACCACAGAGCGAAGGCTAACTCGGTGGCACGCATGGACTGGCATTCCCACGTGCTAGCCGGTGCCCGGGAAGCATTTTCCGGAGGAGCTGCTGGTGCCCATCCCTGCTCCCCCGCATGGGCAGCCTGGGCCCTGCTCTTCTAAGCAAGGACACGGAGATGAGCAACGCACGCTCCGATGGTGAGACACCCCGACTGCAAAGGGCTGAGCTGTCCCCCCCTGCCTGTTTTTTCCATAAATATACTTAAGTCACCCCTAAATTACACCCATACAGGTAAGAGCGAGCACGTGTTTCAATATTACACAGTTTTCTGTTTACAGCAAGGCACCTCTGCCCTCCCAACTGGCAGCTGAAGGTCAGCACCCAGCCTGCTGCCCAAACCGGAGCCAAGCCGAAAGCGGGGCGTAAGCAGGCAGCACCCCAGCTCACCCGAGGACGCCCCGCATCAGCGTCAGCCCACCACCGGCGCAGGGCGCAGCTCCGCCCCAGGCCAAGACCCACACCCGGGTGTCTTTTGCCTGAGCCTCATGGCCACCCCTACAGAAACACACGGGTTCCCTTCACGTCTGAAGAACCCAGGTTTCTCTGCAGTCCTGTGATCTCTCGGGGACTGACCCTGCCACAGTGGAAGACTTAAACACTGAGTTTTAAGCAGCCTTTTTTTTTTTTTTTTCTCCCCCAAAAGAAAGTAAAACAAGGATTTGAAGGAAAAAAAATAACAGAGGGAGAGGTTTTTTACATTCTCCTATTTGATACTACTGCTTTATAGTAATGCTATGGCACCATTACTGCTGCTGAGAGCATGCCCGCTTATCTAATCCATTTATCTAAGCACACCCTCCCCCCTTTTTTTAAGTAAATAAAAAAAGACAAACCCAAAACTCACACTGTTGTTGCCAGACCACAAGTGATGAAAGTACAGACATCCCTGCTTGCTGCTGGCTTGAAAATTCAGCACAGGAAGGATGCACCCCTGCTCCCCTGTTTCTAAGCCCATACTTAAGGATTATTCTACCCATTTTGCTCCTTTGTTCTTCTGGTATTTGAGAGAGTGCTTTCTAGGATTAAGCACACCACCGAGTGCTCTCACAAACTATATAAAGTTTTCATAAGGTCCTTACATAAATAAGCTGCAGAATGAAATTATGTTGAAATGAATTCAGTGAAAAAGCAGACTAATAATCTCCTAAATGAAAAAAACGACAACACTGCACTTAAATCATGAACTGTTTTAAAAATAGCTTTATATATAATTTTGGACTCCCAGAACTTCCATGGAGCACCTCACCAGAATTGGTTGGGTTTTTTTTTTCTGCCTCCTATTCATACGACAGCAGGGGAAAAAAGAGGCCATCTCTCATCTCATCCATCATCAGGTGTTTTCTAGTATACGGGAAATGTTATCAGCCATAAGGACGCAAGTGGACCAGCTGTCATAGACGTGATGAGTCTCATGTAAGGAAAAATTGCTGGAAAAAAAAAATTCCAGGGTACCCATCTGCTAGAACTCGCCCGGGAGGATGACAGATGAATCTCCCGAAGTCTACAAATGAGGCACTTCCGAAACACACCCTTCGCTCCGCTAGCAGGTACCCGACTCCGAGGAACTGCCGCGCTCAGTTCCGCAGCACGGATCCGGCACCGTCAGACCGAGGAACAGATGAGCCCAACTCAACTGCGAGAACCGGGGAGCGAAAGGGGAAAGGGAGAAAAGCGGAGGCGGTGCACGGAGGTAACAAAGCCAGCAGAGAGAAACCACCCAGAGCCTTGGCTTCCTGCTCATTTCAACCAGGTTGGTTTCTTTGGTTTGCTGTGGGTTCTGGTTTTATTTTTAGTTTCATGGGAGTTTGTTGTTTGGGGTTTTTTTAGTTTTTGTTTTGGTTTGTCCTCCTGTTTTCTTAAACATCAAAGCTTGACTTAGACTTACAGATGCAAAAAACCCAGTTCTGGTCATTTTTTACTGTGGAAGAATACAAACACTAGATGCAGGATTTAATAGCTTTATTATTCCTCCCTTCCCCAATGTTGGTATTAACACGAGAGCTTATGAAAGTTACCACAGTACCAGAAAGGGTTCCGAAAGAACCCATAAAACAGACTCAGCTACAGTCAGTTTTAAAACACCTTGCAGGAACATGTGCTGTAGATTAGGAAATCCACTTGTAAAAACAGCTTTGACGAGGCATCTGCATTACTGCCTGCCACAGGTCACAGGCACAAAGAACGGAAGTAAATATTGGATTATTCTGCTGAAGTTACGTAATCACCAGTTTGCGCTTTCAAAATGCGTTTCAGAACTATTACGGACTACGTGATATTGCGATCAAGATGTTCTGGAAGAAAAAAGAAAACCCGCAGAAATCGGGAATTGTGGATTCTGAACGGATTGCGAATCCAAAATGAGATCCCAACCCACACATTCTGCTTGTATTCAACAGCATCCAAAGGACGATCTTTAATACTGCACGCACTGCAAAGACGTTTCTTATATATTTTATATGTCTGCTACTGAAACCCTATTGCAACCTGCAGTTTTGCTACTGGAACCGTACCTTAGTTTTCTAACATAGATTTAAACTCTCACTACTTTCCTAACAAGTCTATATCCTCGTCTGTTAAACAAAGGAACCTCTCCACTAAATAGGAAACGGGGGGTTTGCCCGGTGTTATTGAAATGTCTGGATTTTCTAAATGCGTTTCCATGCATTTAGTCTGTCTATTCAGCGCATTAAGACGAAGATCGTTTAGCACATGCCAAATGCCAGAACTAAATCAAAGCTCTGCCAGGTAGGAGACCTGCTTCTTTGAAGGACAAACCATGCATGTTTTATATATAAACAGATGACTGCTTATTTACCAGTGCATAAAAAAAAAAAAGCTGTTATCAATGGCTTTTGGAGTAAAAACCCACCATAAATTAATTTTGGGGTAAAACACCCATCTATAACACATTTTTGCTTGTATGTCTTCATGACAACTTCTATGATGTATGCTTTAAAAAAGCCATAGATAACTACAATTTCTATTTTTCCTGGCCCCCTCTTTCTTGCTCTTCTAAAATAGGAACTAAGCAAGCCCACCTCCATCTTAAAAATAACACTAAACACAGAGACTAAAACCAAACCCCTCTACTTTCTGCATCGTGTCATACCACGTTTTGCCCAGCAAACGCTGACAACCTTCATCCAGCACATCAGCTGCTACTGCCTGTACAGGAGGGTGGTTCGCAGGATGGCCAGAACCTGGCAAAAACAAAAGCACGCCCAGAGGCAGAGGGCACCCCATAATCCAGAGGCGGCAAGCCGAGCAGAGAAAATGCCTTGTGAATTTAGGCTTTGCTAAGCGTTGCGTGAGGGGAGGAGGAACCTTTTGAGTTTCTGATTGGCAAATAACTTCCAACGTGCAATTTGGTACCAAAGGCGCCAAACAAATCTCATCTTGGTAAACGCCGGATGGGAAACGGGGGAAACCATCATTGCGCATACATTTTGAATTAGGGAATCGAAAGAATTTCTGCAACAGGATAAAGATACCGATAAACGGCAATGTCGGAAAGGGCAGTCACAAGCAGAAGCACCGCGGCAGCGAGCATTCGTTCCTTTTGCGCTGTCCTGAAACAAAGGATGTGAAGTACATTGTTTTACACGTGAGATAAGGAAGGTTATGTAACCACGTAAGCCAAATCCCCAGCTATAATCTCCAGCCTTCCTTCTCCATCTAAACCGTTTCACTGGTTTTTGACTCGACTCCCACGGTCTCTCTCATAGGCTTACATAATTACTACTCCTGACCACTATAATTTATAGCTGTAAAAGCTTATCTCAAGACAGAGTTAAGGCTGAGAGGCGAGGCAATTAAGTACCAAACATTAGGGAGATATTAGAATTATTTCAAACAATGGCGCAATCCGCGTGCTGTTGCTATCTCACAGCAAAGGGGAAGCTTACTGAAGTCTTCAGCCGTTTATGCTTGTTGATGCAGAGCTTGAGAAGCCCTGGCTTTGTGTATGCGAGAAGGAAAACAAAAATCCCACATCAAAAAGAAAATTATTCCCGCGCCAGCCACAGCAGAAAAAAAGTGCTTTGAATGCATTGCATCGGGAATTCATTAACTGACATCAAGACGTTTATGTTACTGATCCACGCGCGTCCTGTACAGCTTTTCTTTATGTTGGAGTTTGAGAGTAGCCAATACACAAATACTCAATCTTCATCTGTCTCCTCACCTAAGGCAAGGAAATGCAATAGCGTTAGTCCGGACACCCGCAGGGCCTTACCCATCTCCAACTAACCTTCAACTGACCGTCGTTCCTCGAGCGCGTAAGCATCAAAGAGGTTTTCTTCTGGTGGAAAGCTTTTTTTAAAAATGCAGAACGTAAGCAGCTATTTATAATGCTACATGCATCACCTCTGAGAGCTAACTTACTCTTCCCTAAACAGAAAAATTACATAAAAATTATTAAAAAAAAAAAAAAAATCAAGATGAAAATTTGGAGAGGAAACAGCTCGTTTTTAAGTTATTACAAAGACTGGTTCGGTATGCAAACCTCTGACATAAGCCTAGAAGTCAAAAAAATACTTGGACGATTTGAAATATCTGCTATGCGAGAAGAATTAATTGCAACGACAGCCAGCTGTAAAGAGCTACGGTCTGCCCCAACCCCGTTCTTGTTCACACACACAGAACCCAGCTTGCAAACAGATTCCCAGAAGGGACACGGCCAAGTGAAACACTTGTTGCGAACACGAGCGGTGTTTTGGAACACATTTCACACCACAGTTGATACCAGCACTACCAACACATTCAGATAACGCTCTATTTACGTAAAACTCAAGAGGATTGTCATTCGCTAGAAAAACTAACCGCTGTATCTGCTGCGGGACACCAGGCCAGAGCGTAAGCTGAATTGGAAAACAAAACAGTTTCTTACCCTCATGCCAAGTACCAAAAAGCCAATCTCCTCCATCAGCGGGTACTTGCTGACCTGCTGCTGTATCTTCTCAGCTGAAGCATACGGATCATAACTTTTCTGACCTATTTTTACATCCATTATGCAAGGCTTATTAAACTTACAGGTCACATCTTCCAGTTTTAGATACGTATCTGTTAAAAAGACAAAACTTTAATAAACAGTGGGTCAAAGCAAAATAATTACGCAGTTTCTGCTGAGCTTCTGTGGAGGAAGGAGAATAGTTTAAGGCTTAACATCACGTGAGTTCTTGAAGAGTCAAATTTGTCTCCGAACACAGGCTAAATCATGGTCATCGACACCCACAAACTCCGTTGGCATTAAATTCTAAATGCCTTATTGTTTAGAAAATTGTATTCAATTAAAGCGCGCTAACCTAGCACTCAAATTCAAATTATTGCCCAGACGAAATTCATGAGTAGCTTTTATTAAGCCATTAACATACTTCAAATAGCATCAATAAACACATACAAATGCAGGTTACTACATGGCTGGTTTTGCAGCGGAGACGGTGTTTTCTTTCCCGGCGTGAAAGGGCTAGAATTAAAAGGGCAATTTTAATTTGTGTCATTTTAAAAGGGAAATTAACATTGCAGAGTCCTACCCTACAGGGGCCAAAACGTGACTCATTTTTCTTTTTTTTATCCCACTCCCTTCTGTACTCATTTCTCATCACGCACCTTTTGGTGAAAACACTCCTCAAATCCTAGGCTGCCTTTCATCCGTTTCCAAAAGTCCCTGTGGGAGGGTGGGTGGACCAAAAAAATCCCCAAGCCCTTGGAGCGGCTGAAGATTTAAAGGAGTAACTAAAACCTGGCCAAACTGGTTTATGCTTTTCTCCAGTGAAGGCAAGAGACTTGTTGCCCACACGATCTACAGCACCCACTGTCAGAACACGAGGACACAAACTGCAGTAACCGCTCGACTGGCAGAGCGCTCTGCTTGGGAGAAGCTTGCACAGATCTCCAGCCCTTGCCAGGGCACGATGCCCACCGAGACACCACGCGGCGTTAACACACGTCTCCTTCTTCACATCGGCTTCAGCAAAGCCACCGGTTATCGGTCACAAACTTCACATCAAAGTTCCTATTCCATGAGTGTACGTCCTTGCCTTTAATGCAATCTGAATATACAAAAGCATTGCACTATTCCCCATTCCCGCAGCACAATCTAAACCGGGATTGCCAAAGAAAGCAAACCCAGTTCAAGTTTGAGGAGGGAAGCGGGACGGCAAAGTGCCTTGTTTCGACAGCTGTACAGACAGGTAACAACGCCCGTCAGAGTCGGGACTAAGGCAACAAGCAACGTTCCGTTTCCACGTAGTAAGTAGAAACACTTTCATAAGGATAAGAAATGAAAGGGACTTTTACTACTTTAATAAGCCCTACTTAGAGCTTCCGTTTTTACACCGTCATGACTGAATGCCCCGGTTCCCCAAAGTACGTCCGTATCAGCGTGAAGTAGGCTCGATTTAACGCTTAGATGCCTGCTTCACGTATGAACGGGACTAAGCATGCTGTTTATTCTGTCATTCTCAGGAAAGCATGTCAAACCAATACACTATTTAAAAAAATCCAACCTTCTAACAACACACCGTACTTTTCAAGGTCCTCTGGCCTGCAGAATCAATCTAGCTACAGCAAAAAGAGTTTCACGATAGATTACCTCACCCATCAACCAGGTTTGCTGCCTCCAATGGCAGGGATATCTGAGCTGGAACAACTCATACCTAACTTTGAGAAGCCACAGGCAGCAAACATACTTGATAATTGCTCACTAGACATCCCCTGAGGAGAAGCCGGACAAATATCTTTTTGCAGAGCTTTGGGGAACCACTACTGAATGCAGGGGAGTCCGTATAAACCATTAGCTATCTGTTATTAAAACAAAACTTGTAAAAATCTAAGCGTCATCCTTCACACCTATCCTTTTTGCATATTATGGAAATCACTGCAACCAACAGATTCGTGACATCACTCTAAACCAATCCAGAGAACAACTAAATGAAATTCAAGGTTTTCAGCACTTCGCCCTCAAAGGCACTGAGCCAGAGGTATGCCGTGGGAGGTGGGGAAACAAAATGAATACAAAAACATCTCAGAAGATGGCTGCAGTCCTTCACCACCAACTCCAAACTGCTTTGGATTATGTCGTGAGCACCTCCGGACTCAAAACCGTTACTAACACCAAAATTATACAAACTCCAAGTTACCCCAAATTATACAAATTGTTTAGATGCCGTGTTTTTATCAAGCCCAGAACGTAACTGTATATAAATTAGTGTAAAGCCTCTATTTCCATAATGCAGCAAGAAGTGAACCCATAAAAGTAATTAGCTTAAAAAGCAGAACTTGCATCTCCCAAAACCGAGCCCACTGCCCTTCAGACAGCACGCAGGCAAGGTAGTCGTGCTCCTTCCTTCAAAGGCACCCACGGTTATCTGCTGTCCTCCACTCCACTGGTCCAAATCCCTCTTTTTAAGCATACAGCACCAACCTTCAGCACCTCCAAAATACTTAAAGTTCTAAATATCTGTCTCTTTTTAATTCCCCATCCATTTCAGATCTGTTACGCTAGAATATCTCCCTTACCGACCTCCTAAAAATGTAACAATTACTATTTTAAAAAAAAAAAAAAAATCAAGCATTAAAATAACTTAGGGGCTAACACCAACCCTGGGAAATACTAATTACTTAGCAAAGCCTGTGAATTATCCAGAAATGACTCATCTCTCTCACCCTTTTTGGAATTAGTATTTAAGTCTTCATCGTTAGCTAGCTGCTAGCTCAGAGTTAAGATTATCTTACATCTGTTCAATGCACACCCCCACTCTCAGAAAGCTTCTTGTCCTTGTGGGGAGCGCAAAAGCATTATACCAAGTTATTTTTTTCTCATTACAGCTTCAGAAAAATGCATCGAGCGTTGACGCTTCATTCTCCCTGGCACCGTTTGGTTCCCATTTGCATTGCGCTCAAGAGCTATCGTCTACTGACGCAGACCCCAGAACCGCAGTATCGGAACATACCACAGCTTTCAGCAGTTACCCCAACATTAACAGGCGTTACAACCAAGGCAAAGCAAGCTTCAGATTCAGACATTGGTAGGTACCGCTACCTTTTCAAGCCAGGAGCCCTCATCCTCTCTGAGGATGCGACCCCCAGCGTCCTTCTCAAGGTCACCCACAAGCCCGCAGCTGAGCCCAGATAAACTGGAGCACTCTCCTTCCTCTCCTCATTTTGTTAAACAAAAAAATTGCAGATTTTCTAAACTATTACGTAGTATGCTGCCACTTCATCATGCATTCGCCATCTAAAAAGGTTAAATTAAAATCCCCTGCAGAGAAAAGAATTCATAAGGATTTTTCTATCTTAGCTTTGGTAGATAATCCTGACTATGTATTTCAAGGACTTAAACAAATTGCTCCTTGGAGGCTTGCCCTTCCCCTTTCTATTTTTCAGTGGCAGGGAAGGAGGCAGGAAGACGTGGTCTGACATATTATTTACATATTTTGTTACAGTCCCAAAGGAGACAAACCAAAAACCCCAAATTCAGCAAGTATGCGTAGCATGAACCACTGCAGACTTCAGCACGTACGTGCCAATGCATTCAGTCCTCGCTGGAATAGAAGCGACAAAATAACTTGAGGCATCTGACTTCTTCTCATAACTTTCAAGACATCTCCCAAAACATATGAATAAGCAGGGAAAAGCCTCAGTTGCTCCCAGCAACAAGGGAAGAAAAGAAAGGTTTGAAGCTGGCTTATATTTATCTACCCTGTTCTCAGTTTAGGCAACAAAAATTAGAGAACAGTATGAAATGAGCAGCAGTAAAATCACTTTAAAAAAAAGAAATGCAGGGGCAACAAGTAGGCAGCAAGCCCCAGAACTCCAGCAGGAGATATAAAAAGCTTAACACAGCTCCTACATCTTTATAATAACTTTTCCACCTCTTTATTAATAAGCTCCAAATGCCTGCAATGCCAACGAACCCAAAGCTCAAACCAAATTGTCTGCCTCCAACTTTCGAGTAGCTTGGGGAGATGGAGCATCATCCACCTCTAACTCCATCTCCCGTGCAGCAGTACCAGGTATGTGATCGCAACGTAACGGGACAGTTATTTCACAAATTTTATCAATACTGTGAATATCGTCCATCTTTTCTGTCACACTTCCTATATTCTCGTGTCACGTGGAAACTCTGAGATGGGCAGAGGTCAAGTTCAGAGCGGTCCTAAATTAAGTTACTCCGGGTTGGTTTGGGTTTTTTTTCTTACCACAAGCCTGCGATTCTCTTCGTGTCTGTATGAACCTACTCAAACTCTCAACCCTCTACCCAAGATAACAGCTACAATGC